TTTATAGGAAGATACAGCAAATGTCGTTTCCACTGTGCTATTCACTTCGGGAATGACGACGCTTTTGCATATATCGTTTGGGTCAAGATTACCCTTGATACAGGGTCCTTCCTTTGTTTATCTTGCTCCTGTACTTGCAATTATCAACTCTCCAGAATTTTTGGGGCTTAACGGAAATGTATGTAAATGTTTGGTTGCTGTTTTCTCAGGCATTTTTCTTTATATTCTTCTTTTCATCTGTTATGTGAAAAAGAGATACTTTATCGTAATTGCATAACTAAGAGCTTTTGATACATCTATGGGCTCTGTTTGCCTAACTCATCTAAGTAGGTAATCTAATGGGGTGCATCGGCTAGGTTCCAAATGCATTTTCTTCCATTTCTGTTAATACTGTATACAAAAGAAGAGTATAAAGATAATCTTACTCAGCTTTTTGTAGATCTTATATTTTTTGGTCTGCTAGTGATACGGCGCCGAATTTTATTCTTACCAAAGGGGTAATCAATCCCATACCGAAGTATGTTAAGTCATGATCCAGTAGTGAGACACTGAACTCAACTATATATAGGCTAGATTGCATTTTCTCATTCGAGCAGTGTGCTTGGGGATGAAACTGAAAGAAATATGTTATGCCAGTTTCATTTCGGTATAATCACGGACCAAGTATTATTATGGCGTCATTTGTTTTATCTATAAAATCAAGTACTGAGACGTTGACTGGTGAAAGGCCGTAATTTGCAAATGCGACTGCGGCAATTTTTTTAGTGCCAAATGTCCTGCAAGTATAATTGTTTGTTTTTTTTACTATCTGGTATTGTGTGCTTTTTACTTACGTTTTCCAAATGGCAGAATTTCAAGCACATAATGAAAGAGCTACAAGGGGCTATAATAATTGGTTCAGCTTTTCAGGCCTTCTTGGGATACAGTGGTTTGATGAAAATATTACTAAGGTATGAGTTTATTTCATCATATAATTATACAATATTTTATATCTTAACTCGCATGCCACCATTTATTTGTTCGCTTGGAATTTCTTCTAGTCCGGTAAGTAATCTGATTTCAAATTTCGCTTAGAAGGATTATTTTTGTTCAAAACTGGGACTCGATATATGGTAAAAAAAATTTACTTAGAACCAACAAAATTTTTAGCTTGATTCTGCGAGTCGGGTTGAAATATACGCTTTAGTGCGCTTTTACTGAATAAAATAGTTCAATAAAGATAGTGAATTTTTGGAATAGACAATCGTTGCAATGAAAAGCAAAGGGCAACTGATTGACATAGGGTTTTGACTTGCTTCACAATTGTATAGTACGTGCAACGTGATCTGCAAACAAAGTGTTCACT